ATTGTCGTACGTCGCCACCGTCATCGCCATCCGACAACTACACTCTCCGGTATCTACTTATATCTCTCCTATTTTGTATCAATCGTCCAATCTGTGAATGGTGGTGGCAACTACACTCTCTGCTTGATGCGGCATCGTAGCTGTGAGTGGTTGCCATCACGTCATTGATGAGTAGTGGTGATGTTGGCTGTGTGATGACGTGGTGTTGAAGTTGTTGTCGGTGGTGGGTTTGGTGTTTGTGTTGGTAGCGGCGGCAACAGACATATATGGTGGTGGTTGTAACCAATTGGTGGTGGCAATGGCTATGGTTGTGGATTGGTGGTGATTGCGGTGACTATTGTTGGTAGTTGTGGTGGCGACGGCGACAACGATAGCAATTATGGTAAGTTTGGGGATTTTTTTGGTTGGTGGTGGTGGTGTAGTGTGGTGGAGATGTTGGTCACGATGGTGAAAAGTGTAGATGGTGGTTGTGGTGGTCGCGACGATGGTGGCGTTGACGGTAATGGATTTGAAGAGGTGATGGTGGTACATGCGGCATTGGTGGTTGTGCTAATGTTGGCGGAGGTGGCAGTCACAAATTGTTTTGTTGATTGTAACCAATAAATTGGTTGATTTGTGACCAATAAATAATATGTGGTCGATTGTGACCAATAAATTGGTTGGTGTATGACCAATAAATAATATGTGAGCAATGAAAAAGATAAATTATGACAAAAAATAATGTGTGACCTAAAAAATTATTAATATGTGATCGATAATTTTTGACTTATAATATTTGTGATTTGTGATCGATAAATAAATTGTAACGTATAAATTTTTTATTTGTGATCGATGAACAAATTGTGACCTATAAAATTTTTGAATTGTGACTGTAAAATAATTTTGTGACATAAAATTTGTGATTTGTGATCGATGAATAATATGTGACTTATAAAATTGATAGATTTGTGATCGATGAATAAATTGTGACGTATAAATTTTTGATTTGTAATCGATGAACAAATTGTGACTTATAAAATTTTTGAATTGTGACCGTAAAATAATTTGTGAATTATAAAAATTGTGATTTGTGATCAATTAATAATATATGACCAATTATATGAAATTTGTGACCATAATTATTCAATTAATAAAATAATGTTTAATTAATTAATTTATAAATAAATTTTGGAAAAGTTTGAGATTTGAAATTTTAAAATTTGATCTCTTAAATTTGAAATTCATTAAACATAACATCTTAGTTATGTAATCTTCTCATTTCAAAATCTAATCACACCGGTCAACTGGACCGGTTAACTCGGTCAAAGCCTTGATTTTGATCGAGTCAAATACATTTCTATCAAATTAATATGTCCAGCCCCGTCAAGGGGCCATCGGTTTTCTGATCCAACCGACTAGGTTTTATAACTATGTTAATTACTATACAGATATGATATAAATTTATATATATAAATTAATTACCAAACACAATCTTCATATACAGAAGTTAATGGAATTGATTAAATCTTTTACCAATATGTATTAGTAAAAAATAAAGAACATGCACGTGAATTCCACATATACAGAAGTTAGAGTTTAGGGTTTTGTATATAAATCAAAAGGCACGAATTAAAGGCAGCATTTGCATAGACACAAATTACTTGTGCAAGTCTCTTCATCTGTAGACATAATATTATATATGTACAGGCCAACACAATGATTGCGGAATTAATGCACATGTAAAAAAATTCACGTGTATAAACAAAAAATTGGGAATGATGTATGTGTGTATAAAAAATAAAATTCACATGTCACCAAATTTATTTTGTTACTGACAAATGATTATGCTTATAAAAATTATTACCTTCTAACTAATTCATTTTCATTTTGAGATAATTGTACCGATAGCGTATTATAAACTAGAAAGAAAAAGAGAGGAGAATGAGATAGTCAATAGACTTATGTGTATTATAAATTCCAACACTACTTGTTTGGTTTATAAATTCCAATAACTAGAGTGAGTTTTAATTAATTGTTCTTGATGCTCACTCTTGATACAGGAAGTGCAAAAGAGACATTTGGACAAAAAACATAATAAAAAATTCCCCTACTTGGAGAAATACAGAGCTTTTACAGCATATCTAATGCTGTTACTTGTTTTATTGAGGAAAAATGTTTATGAATATTAAGATTTTAGTTAAACGCAAAGTTTAAAAATGCATAAAAAGGTCCTAAATAAATATTAGGGGATGAATTTTAAAACATAGATTTTATCAATGTTTTACAAATGAGACCAGACATTGACTTGAAATTGCTAATTTAAATATTTGGAGGGTTTTAAATTTTTTTATTAAGGAAACATAGAAAAATGATTAATTAATAAAACATTAAATATATTAATATCACAATTTCATATAACAAATTATAAATTAATTAGTCACAAATTATTTCTCAATCACAATAAAATTTTTTATAGGTCGCAAGTTATTTCATAATCACAAATCGAAAATTTTATAGATCACAATTATTTCATCGGTCACAAATTTATAAAATTAATAAGTCATATATTATACATTTGTCACAAATCACAAATTTTATATCCCACAAGTTATTTTAACGTTACAATTCAAAAAATTTATAGCTCACAATTTGTTCATCAGTCACAAATCAAAAATTGAAATATCACAATTTATTTATAAGTCACAAGTCACAAATATTATAAGTCACATCTTATTAGACAGTCACAAATTATCAAATTATCGATTATAAATTGACAATTTTTTAGGTCACACATTATTTTTTGGTCACAATTTATTTTTTTCATTGGTCGAATATTGTTTATCGACCACAAATTAATCTTAAATTACCAGTGTTTATTGGTTTATTAGAATGACCATCACCAACACTTTGACTACCACCTCACCACTGCCACCAAGGCATGGCAATCGTAGCCCCCTCATCGGAATCACCACCACCCCTATCCAACAACTGAAAAAAATCGCCAATCCTACAACATCGCCGCCGACCACCTCCAACAAATTTTCAATTTCAAATCCACCAACACCAACACCACCTCGTCACCACAACCACCAACAAAACCACCATCACCACCGCACCAACAAGATCAAACACCGTCGCCCAAAAATCATATCGCCTCCCAAAAATCAACAAAATTGCCACCTAAAAATCAATAAAATCACCGCCCACCACCAACAAAACAACTGCCACCAACATTATCCAATATTGTCGCCTAAACACCAAATCCCAAGCAACAAAATCGCCATCACCACCACTACCTCACCACCACAACCACCAACAACCCACAGCCACCAACAAGATCCAAGAAAATCACCGCCACAGCCGCCCAAAAAAACCAACAAATCGGATCCACAAACACCGTCGGCAGAACCAGAACACTGCTAGTTGTGTGCGATCGTACTCAGATCAGATCTACCAATTAATTGATCACAACCACCACCATATATGACCGTCGTTGTCGCCATGAGAATAGCCACCGCCACCGCCAACACAAACACCAAACCCACCACCGCCAACAACTTCAACACCACATCATCGCACCATCAACATCACCACCACTCATCGGCGACGAGGGGGCCACCACTCAAGGCTACGGTGACGCTTCAAGCAGCGACGACGACAATGGTGGGTTGGTAGAGAGTGAGAAGAGAGGAGGGAAAGATGGAGAAGATAGTTGAAATTGGTTTAGGGTTTGGGGTGGATTATTTTAAATTGTAAATATTAATAATATTTAAATTTTAATTATCATATGATCTTTGAAACAAAAACTTGCAAATCTAAATTTTGAAATTGGAAGTTGAAATTCTGATATACTGTAATTTCCACATTTTTTTTAACTTTTAAACAACTTAAAAGCTAGCAGAACCGAATAAATTGGTTGTGAGTCACCAATTAGTGGTTAAATCGGCATATTGAAGGACTTTTTACAGATTTTGAATTAAGTGAGTTTTAAACTTTAATTGAACCGATTTTGGATCAATTGTATCTTGGGTAGAACTGGTTTCAATTCGATTATTATAACATTAATTTTTCGAGATGTCCTCAACTAAAATGTTGATGGATTTTAGAAGATAATAAATCCTAATGAATTTATTGAATTTAAATAGATTTCCACAAATTGCATAAAAATCTTATTAAATATGGTGAAATTTCGAAAGATTTCAATAAATGTATTTTTAAACTTGAAAGTTGAAATCCATCAAAATCTTTAAAATCTCACTATTAATAAAATGTTTATAAATTCACTAGTTATTGAGGATACCTAAATTTTAAAAGATTTCGTTGAATTTTATTAAAATGTTTGGAGACACCTAAATTTAGCCCCCGTTTGACACCCATTTTTTCTCATTTTTTTCTCTTTCTTTATTTCAACCACACATTCTATCAATAAAATAATACTACACATAAATCCAGAAATTCTCCTTACTTTTTAACCACACAATCTTCCATCAATCATTATTCCAAAAATTATTTTTCAAACAAAATGGGTGTCAAACAGGGGCTTAATGGATTTCATTAAAATTCATTAAAATTTTAATTGAGAATATCTAAATTTAGAATGATTTTTAAAATCTACCACAATCTCATTTGAGGACACCCCATTTATTCAATTATACTTTTGTCTATTTAAATAAATTTACATAAAGTTAAAATGTAATATAATTTTTTTTAAAATTGAATAGATATATAGTTCGTGTTTGCCTTTTATTCTTTCGAATTTTTTTATATACTTATTTTCAATTACACATTTTGCCAATAATTCTTTCGAATTTTTTTATATACTTATTTTCAATTACACATTTAAATAATAAAATATTTTTCACATAAATTTAATTTTTTTTTCTATTTTTAATTATAAATTCTCTGGAAATTGACTATTAAAAATATTGTTTTCCAAAAGAAAATGACCAACAAACATGACAATAAAATACTGGATGAAAATAGCATTTCCTAATGCAAAAATTTGGGCAACACGCTTACACATGACAACAAGCACGAATCGACTATACATATTTACACAGCTGCCCCATACAGTAAACATTTCCAATCAGATCTTCTCTCTATCAAGAAGAAAGGGGAAGAATCAAGTTTTCCCAACAATTCATAAAAGAAATTATATACAAAAGGAAGGCACGTTTAATTATATAAACTTTTATATAGATCCGCCGGAGGAAGGAAGAAGGAAACATATTTTTGTATTCTGTTTTGGTTTTTTTTTCTGCATCAGGTATGTATCGATTCTATTGCATTTATGCTTCTTGTTTTAGTTCAGAAGTTAAGATGTGGGCATATATTCGGATAGTCTGGGGTATTTGTATTTAGGTTAAATTTGGAGAAATGAATGGTGTGTATCGTTGGAAATGAAAATTAGGGTTTGAATATCAATCTTGGGGGCTATTAGGTTGGTGGATATTTAATATTTGTGTTTCTTGTTTTAGCTTAGAAGTTGGGATGCGGGTATATATGCAGATAGTCAGAGGTATTTGTATTGGGCTTAAATTTGGAGAAATAAATTTTGTGTTAATGAAAATTAAGGTTTGAGTATCAATCTTGGCCACTATTCAGTTAGTGGATATTTATGTTTCTTGTTTTAGTTTAGGAGTAGGAATGTTGGTATATATATGCGGAAAATCAGAGGTATTGAGCTTATATTTTGAGAAATGAGTATATTGTATCATTGGAAATGAAAATTAGGGTTTGAATCTCAATCTCAGGGCTTATTAGATTAGTTTGTATTTAGAGTCTTTGACATTGGTTTGAATTTTGTATGGTTATCTGACTGCTTTGCTTTGGATTTTATTACTAGTACAGATTGAAGCTAGGGTTTTATTTACTGGTATCATCTGTTACTACACTGCTGGAGGAAAGGAATTTCCGGAGTATCACATACCGGAATATGAGCTCTTCAGTGCAAAACCACCGGAGGGAGAATAATATTAACCGACCTAGATACAATGGTTCTCATGGTACCCGACGCGAGTGGGTCCCACGCAGTTCTGCTGCCGCCACTCCCTCTGCAGTCTTAATCCCAACAGATAATGTCAATAGTTCGAGCACAAGTGGGAATGCTAATGGGAATATTAATGTTGAAGAGTCTATTCATAGGTTGGTTCGACCGGTAATTCCAAATCGGAACAGGATTCATGTGGGGTCAAGGGGAAATCCTAGTCGGTATCTGAATCAGAGGAGAGAGAGGGGTAGGGAGAGAGGGAGGGAAAAGGACAAACAGGAACAGAATGAGAAGATATCAAATAACATGAACATGCCCCAGCTTGTGCAGGAAATTCAGGAGAAGCTCTTAAAGGGATCAATTGAATGTATGATATGTTATGATATGGTTAGGAGATCTGCACCTATCTGGTCCTGCTCCAGCTGTTACTCGATTTTTCACCTGAATTGCATTAAGAAATGGGCCAGGGCTCCCACTTCTACTGACTTATCAGCTGAAAAGGATCGGGGTTTTAATTGGCGTTGCCCCGGATGTCAATCTGTGCAGATCATGTCATCTAAGGAGATTCACTATGTCTGCTTTTGTGGGAAGAGACCTGATCCCCCTTCAGATTTGTATTTGACACCTCATTCTTGTGGAGAGCCTTGTGGAAAACCATTGGAGAAAGAAATTCCTGGTAGCGGTATGAGTAAAGATGATCTTTGTCCTCATGTTTGTGTTTTGCAATGCCATCCAGGTCCTTGTCCCCCTTGCAAGGCTTTTGCTCCTCCACATAGGTGCCCTTGTGAAAAGAAAGTTATTACTACGAGATGCTCTGATCGGAAGTCTGTTCTCACTTGTGGGCAGATGTGTGATAAGCTTCTTGAATGTGGGCGGCATCATTGTGAAAGGGTCTGCCATGTGGGTCCCTGCGATCCCTGCCAGGTCCTTATTAATGCTGCTTGTTTCTGCAAGAAGAAGATTGAAGTTGTTCTTTGTGGAGATATGGTTGTGAAGGGAGAACTCAAGGTGGAAGATGGGGTGTTCTCGTGCGGTTCAATTTGCGAGAAGATGCTTGACTGTGGAAATCATGTCTGCCCTGAAATCTGTCACCTGGGCCCTTGTGGGGAATGTGAATTATCGCCAAGCAAGATTAAGACATGCTGCTGTGGTAAGACAAGCTTAAAGGAGGGTAGGCAGAGTTGTTTGGATATGATTCCAACTTGTCCACAGATCTGTGGCAAGATCCTCCCTTGTGGGCTGCATAGCTGCCAGGATGTCTGTCATTCTGGTGTTTGTCCACCATGTTCTGTGCTCATCAGCCAAAAATGTCGCTGTTGGTCAACCTCTCAAACTGTTCAGTGCTACAAAGCTGTCACAGGGAATGCGATATTTACTTGTGATAAACCTTGTGGTCGGAAAAAGAATTGTGGAAGGCATCGGTGCAATGAGCGGTGCTGCCCTCTTTCTAATTCTAACAGTAGTCCCTCTGGTGATTGGGATCCACATTTGTGCTTGATGCCATGTGAAAAGAAGCTAAGATGTGGACAGCATTCTTGCATAACATTGTGTCACAGTGGTCACTGTCCTCCCTGTCTGGAGACAATTTTCACTGACTTGACTTGTGCTTGTGGTAGAACCTCAATTCCTCCTCCACTACCTTGTGGTACTCCTTCCCCTTCATGTCAATACCCTTGCTCAGTTCCTCAGCCTTGTGGTCATCCATCTTCTCATAGCTGCCATTTTGGGGAGTGCCCACCGTGCTCAGTTCCTATTGCAAAGGAGTGTGTTGGTGGGCATGTCATCCTCAGGAACATTCCTTGTGGGTCCAAGGATATTAGATGCAACAAGCTTTGTGGGAAGACAAGGGCATGTGGCTTGCATGCATGCTGTAGAACTTGTCACCCATTGCCCTGTGATTCTTCTGCTGGATCAACTACTGTTGTGAGAACTTCTTGTGAGCAGACATGTGGTGCTCCAAGGAGAGATTGCAGGCATACATGTACTGCCCTTTGTCATCCTTCCACTCCATGTCCTGATGTAAGATGTGAGTTCTCTGTCACAATCACTTGTTCTTGTGTCCGAATAAGTGCTACTGTTCCTTGTGCTGCTGGAGGTAGCAATGGAGGGTACAATGCTGATAATGTTCTTGAAGCCTCTATAATCCAAAGGTTGCCCGTACCTCTACAACCAGTGGAAGGTAATGGCAAGAGAATTCCTCTTTCTCAGAGGAAGCTCATGTGTGATGATGAATGTGCAAAGACTGAGCGTAAAAAGATTCTTGCATATGCTTTCGGAGCTACGTCAACAAACTTGGACGCATTTCACTTTGGAGAGAATATGTCAGTGTCTGAAGTGCTGTCAGACCTTCTCAGACGTGACCCTAAGTGGGTGTTGTCTGTGGAAGAGAGATGCAAATATCTGGTCCTTGGCAGGGGTAGAGGTGGAGTCAATGCCCTTAAAGTTCATGTTTTCTGCCCAATATCGAAAGAAAAGAGAGATGCAGTAAGGCTGATAGCGGAAAGGTGGAAGCTTTCTGTGAATGCTGCTGGTTGGGAGCCAAAGAGATTTATTGTTGTTCATGTTACACCCAAGTCCAAAGCCCCAGCTCGTGTTCTTGGTGTAAAATGTTCTAATCCTAGTAGCATGTTGCAACCACCAGTTTTTGAACCTCTGGTTGACATGGATCCCAGGCTTGTTGTTGCTCTGTTCGATATGCCTAGGGATTCAGATATCAGTGCTTTGGTTCTAAGGTTTGGTGGGGAATGTGAACTAGCCTGGTTGAATGATAAGAATGCGTTGGCTGTCTTCAGTGATCCAGCTCGGGCAGCAACTGCTATGAGGAGATTAGATCAGGGATCTGTGTATCACGGAGCCATTGTAGTTCCTCAAATTGGTGGTGCGTCAGCAACAACTTCAGGTGCTAATGCTTGGGGTTCTTCTGCAGCATCCAAAGATAGAAGTGGTATGGCAGTCCTGAAACGGAATCCATGGAAGAAAGCGGTGGTGCAGGATCCTGACTGGAAGGATGGGCTGTGGGATGCTGAGGAGTGGGCAGGAAATGCTGCTAATTCTGACTTGAAGGGGAAGGAAGCTCCAATTGAAGCATTAGCCTCCAACAGGTGGAGTGTTCTGGAATCTGAAAGCACCTTGAAATTATCAGCTGCTTCTGTTAAAAAAGAGGATCTTCTGAACCAGCATGAAAATAGTTCTGTATCAAGCACTAAGCCAGAAGGTAGTGGTTTGAATTTGCCAGCCCCGCAAGAAGGGACTAGCTTTGAACTGTCTGATGATGTAGTGGATTGGGAGAAGGCTTATAATTGAGTGTGTGCTTGGATATAATATATATGACCAATGTAAATTTGAGCTGTCTGATGATGTAGTGGATGATTGGGAGAAGGCTTATGATTGAGTGTGTACAAATTTACATCGGCGGATATTATATCCAAGAATTAATTGCAGGGGACGAGTGTCAATTCAGTTGCCCCTTCCCCTCTGTGCATACTTTTTATTTTTTGTTCCTCATCAAGTAACCGACTTTCTGTAGAAATCTTGTGTATTATGTGATATAATCGTTATTGATTGCTTACCTTATTTAAATTAGGAAACTTTTCCTTTTCTTAGATTAGGAATTATTATAAATTGGATTCATTGTATTGTAACAATTCATTGAGGAATATACAGAAATAATTCATCCTCATCTCTTACGTTTCTGCTAATATGGTATCAGAGCCAGAGTGAGTCGAAACTCGGCATGACAGAAACAGAAACCGTCGGCAAAGGCACGATGAAAAAACCCTCAGTTTAAAAAACGCACCTCTTAGCCGGAGCCAATTCACAAGACAAGCGGCCTGAAAATCTGAACACTGTCGGAATTATCACCTCCGGCCACCACCATGATCGGAACATCCCGCCGGTCAATTGCCCAACCCTAGACGACTCCAACAAGTTCCTCAATTCACTCCAAACAACTATCCACCATTCTGGAGTAAGCACAGAAGAACGTCCAGTCGCGAAAGGGGCGCTGTGAGGCCAGTACTGTGCAAATTACGGCCTCGTCCAGTCGACCCATGGTCACGGACCACATGGGTTGAATCCCTCTCCACCTGGCGCACACTACGCAACCATGGGTCAGGTCCAATTTCAACAGGGAAGCAACGAGAGAAACCTGCAGAGGAGCGAAGATGAGAAGAAAGGAAGAAATGGGCTTCCTGGTGTCTTGGCCTATTTAGGAACTGATGTTGGGTCTAATAAATCTGAACTTACTACTGAATCTGTTTCACTAAGAAAGATTTATGGGTCCAACTTCATTGGGCCCAATGGGTCAGCCCATGTATTCATTCCTAGCCCATCAAATTCCTTGGCCCACACAGATGGGTTTCTAAAGGCCCTAAACACTACCGCTCAATCCAAAATTCCCTGGATAATTGACTCTGGTGCGTCAGATCACATGACAGACGCTTACCACCTGTTTACCACATATTCACCATGTGCTGGTAACCTCAAAGTCAAAATTGCAGATGACTCACTTTCACCTGTTGTAGGAAAAGGGAGTATTCGAATTTTCAATTTGATGACACTTGAATCTGTTCTACATGTCCCAAAATTGTCTTGTAATTTATTGTCCATTAGTCAATTGACGAAAAAATCTAATTGTTCTGCTAATTTTTTCCCTTCTCACTGTGTTTTTTAGGATCTATCATCGGGGAAGACGATTGGCAAGGCTAAGGAGTGTGGGGGACTCTACTACTTTGAAGAGGTTGATGCGAGTAAACAACGTCAATTTGCTAGTTGCGATTCCGCTTTTGTTCCTAAGATAAGTGAAATATTTTTATGGCATTATAGAATGGGTCACCCCAATTTTCAATATCTGAAACGTGTATTTTCCTCTATTTTTTCGAACAACACTCATGATGACCTTCATTGTGAAATTTGCGAACTTGCAAAACATCAGCGTTCCTCGTTCCCAATATCCACATACAAACCTTCCAAACCATTTGCCATGATCTACAGTGACCTATGGGGACCCTCGCAAACCCCTAATCGTACACATACTATATGATTTGTTACATTCATTGATGTCCATACTCGTATTTGTTGTGTCTATCTGTTAAAAGATAAAACCGTTGTTCGCTCAGTTTTTCTTAATTTCCATTCAATGATTCAAACTCAATTCCAAACACGCATTCAAATTCTGCGTACGTATAACGACACAGAATATTTCGACAATACCTTAAAAACCTATCTCCAAGAGAATGAAATTATTCATCAAAGTCATGTGTTCACACTCCTCAACAAAACGGGGTTGCCGAACGTATAATAGGCACATTCTCGAAGTTGCCCGTGCCCTAATGTTCACCATGAATATGCCTAAAACCTTCTGGGGAGATGCCATTCTCACTTCAGCCTATCTTATAAATAGAATGCCAAGTCGCATCCTCTTATTTAAATCTCCCCTCCAAAAACTTCTACATTTTTTTCCTCACTCCCGTCTTCACTCAACCTTACCTCTAAAAGTGTTTGGTTGTACATCTTTTGTCCATATTCATTCACATCATAGGACTAAGCTAGATCCCTGTGCTCTTAAATGTGTACTGATCGGTTATTCTCCTACACAGAAGGATTATAAATGCTATGATCCCACAAAAAAAAAGGTATTTGTTAGTTTTGACGTCACTTTTTCTGAGAATACTCCGTACTTTCAAAAAACCTCTCTTTAGGGGGAGAATGTCAGTGAAGATGAAGATCGGTTCTTGAAAATTGATCTCTCTTCTCCCCTAGAGTCCATCCCAAACACTGAACCTACTCCATCAACTTGTTCTAATATGCCATTTGCAGAAGAAAACTTAAACTTAGGGGGAGATAAAGAAAAATAATGTGGCAAAGAGATATTAGTTTACTCGAGAAAACCAAAATCAAGGTACAATGAAAACCTCACACCCGAAGCACCAAGAGAGTCAGAACCGGTGATAGCTCCAAATCTACAAGGGACCTCTCCCTCTACTTTGGACATTGATTTACCTATTGCTCTCAGAAAACAACCTCGGTCATGTACTCTCCACCCTATCTCAAAATTTGTATCATATAACACTCTTTCTACAGGGTTTCGCACTTTTACTTCTAAC